AACTTATCGCCAAAAACGTGACGGGGCCAAGGAAATCAGATTTTCGAATTGGAACTCTTTGTCAGCACTGAGCTGGTGGCTGGAGACTGGAGTTTTGGAGATCACGCCATGCCCAGACCTTCAACTCTAGGCAGCCATATTGGATTTTTGTTTTGGTTCCCTTTTTTCATCCGATGAGACGTCGTTCATCCCAAGCAGACGAGAAGGCAATGCCACAGCCCCCCGCCAGAGATCTTTCTTACCTACCCCCTTGAGTGGCAGTGCTTCGTCGATCATTCTGGAGAAGAAAACGATGTACTGAGTTCTCCACTAATATAACGAGATGCTCGCAATGGCAGGTCTTCACACCAGCTGCTACTTGGGCAATTACGCCAACTTGCAAATGGGAAATTGGAAATTCTCCTAATGCCATTTGTGACTATTTCTCTATCGCGGCATCAGTCTGAATCCGTCAAAGGACCCCGTCTTTCCGATATCCAATCTCTCCGTTGGGTCGGTACTCAGACTTCAAATGCTGGTCGACGCCCCTTGAGTTTTGGGGCAAAATGCGTTTGGCAAGGCTTAATTTGCAATTCCTTCTTACATGAAGTCCGTCTATGGGTTTTCCCCCTCGAAACAGAGAAAATATGAAGACAAAAAAATAAGTTGGAAATCTCAAAAAGTTCCACTGAACCCCAAAGACCGATGTGATGCCTTTTCCCTCTAGTGTACAATGAGTAGGGTCCTGTCCGTCTCTCAAGTAATAGCAAACTCCGTAAAACGCCGGCCAGTCTCCCTGTTCTAGTGGTATCATCAGTCTTCTTCTTTTCTTACAAGTCTTATTCTTTCCTCTTTCTCTTCCTTGCCTTCTCTGGCCTCCCTACTTCGTCTTCTTCTTTAGCAAACGCAAGAAAAAGGTGTCGTGGTTCTGTAAAGATGGACGTTTCGTAGCCCGAGAAAGCCATGAACATGGTCGTACAGCAGAAACTGTGACGGCTGATATCTCGCGGGCGGTCGTAAGTAATCGAAACCCCCCAAAAGTCGTTTAAATGACCTCGTTACGCTCGAACCCCTGTGCTCTCAGCGCGGCGTTGGGCTTCTCGCCGTCTTTGTACTCGCTGACGAACGGGTTCGGGTCCTCCTTCTGGTTGAGGTTGCTGAGGGTATGGTTTACGCCTCTGTGAACGGCCTCTGCAAGTTTGTGTCAGCCCAACATCATTCGTCTTCTTCCTCCTCCCCGTCTTCAGGAGGAGATATGAGGTAAGAAAATACGCACCATCAGCCCTGATGTACAAGATCAAATCCTTCATCGTCCTCTGGCCCTCGGGAATCTTCCAATACTGCACGGCGATATCGGGGATCACGAAGTTCGGATCGGACCACTTGGGCAGCAGGCCCTGGTCGATCTCGTAGAGGCACCGCGTGTACGTGTGCACGGCCTCCTCCTCGAGGTACCCGACGAAGCGGTGGGTGATTTTGGGGGAGACGAGGTACGACAAGAACATGCCGTTGAAGAAGACGCCCTGGGCGCCGAGGATCATGACCTTCATGAACCAGCCCGGCTCCGACATCTTCATGAACGTCAAGAGGTGCATGCGCTCGTTGAAGCTCTCCTCGAGGAGCGTCTCGATCCAGCCGTTGTCGCGCTTCATGCGACGCAGGCTGCCGAGGTGGCGGAGCATGCCGGCGACCATGCCCGGGACTGTTTCACGGTTGCCAGTCAGTCTTGTACTTCTCTACGTCTACGGAGAAAGAGGAAGAGGGGGGGCTCACCTCCGGCAATACTCTCCAGAAAGATGAACCTCACCAGCCACTGCGCCTCGGTAAGCGGCTTGTCGGCCACCAGCGACGTGGTGGGGTTCTTCTTGTCGACCTGCTGCTCGGAACCCAACCCCGTGGCGCGGTCCATGAACCACCGCGCGACCCGTACAAACTTCCACGCCGCCCAGTCGCCGACGGTGCGCGGCGCGCGGTGGTCCGGGACGATGTCGTGCATCTGCTGCTCCGTGTACCCCGGGTGCGGCCACGCCGGCGCCGTGAGGCGGATGTGTTCCGTCTCCTTGGCCGGGAAGAAGTCGCGGAGCTGCGTCGCTCGCGTCGTGGAGAAGGATCGGCTGGTGCCGGGGGTCACATGTTGCCGGTGTTGCTGGAACGAGGCGGCGGTGATGCGGAGGCCGGCGAAGGAGGTTGTGGTGGTGGTGGTGGTGTTGTGGAGCGCCGCAGCGGCCCGGACGAGATGGGCTGCTTGTTTCGGCGCGCAGAGTCTGGTTGATGCTCTTGATGATAGCATTGGGAAAGGTGTGGCAATGTGGATTGTTTTGGTGTAAGTCGGGGTGTTGTGTGTGTAAGCCGAGTGACCAACTCTAAGAGTGATGTCAGGATATAGTGATGTCAAGAATGTACTTGAATACTGGTGATGATGGAACGAGAGTCGTACGGCCTGAGGAACGGCTCACGGCCCAGAGTCTTATATACCATTTGGAGGGGTGGTGGTTATACATGGTCGTTATTGATGCGGCGATGAGTGTGTGTGGGTGTGGGGGGGAGGGTGTGGGAAGGGGAGCAGCAAGCAAAACCTGTCAGATGGCAGACATTACACAACGGCATGAGCCATGGTCAGGGTATCCAAATCTGAATTGTCGGCGAGGATGTGATTACCCAAGCCGACGAGGAAGAATAGGAATGGAAGGGGGTCCTCGACGAAGAGGGATCGGGTAACCCAAGCCCCCATGGAATAGAGAGAAAGGAACCTGATGTAAGAGCCTCAGGGAGACTTGTGATCCATGCGTTGGTAGTCACAGAAAAGTCGCCGAGAGTACGCCGCCGACGATAGGTACGCTAAGGTACAGCAAGTAAACGGCAGTGCAAAAGCGAGAGAAGGAAAAAAGTCAATTAGCCATTCTGGTTCCGCATTCTCTTGTCTGACGTCTTGCGATCCCGATGTTACGGATACAGATGGGAACGCCGTCTTAGTGGGGGCGCAGGCGCGGGCGTCGGTAAAGCAATGCAGATTGGATTTGCAAAGGCCGCGGAGACAGGGATGCCAGTGCGCCGTAGGGCGTAGCGGAACCGGCTAGGCCGTACGGAGGAGGAAGTGTGGAAATGTTGTCAAGTCAGCTGGACCAGATTGGCGGCGTCCATGTCGGGTCGCATCGGGATGTGAGTATTTTTTGTTCCAAATGCTCGACGTGCGCAGTACACGGGGCGCACACAGACATGGCTCAGCTACAGATTTCGTTCCGCTCCATTTTCGTGGGGCTGTGATTGGATGGGATACTGTCAGCTTTCTGCCCTTTCCCGTCGACTCGTGAACTTTTGTTGTTGTCTCTTTTACCAGTCAGAAACCAGCCGTCGTAATACAGAGGGTCGTATTTTGGTGTTTGCTTACTATTGCTTGCAGCTGCAGTGGTATCTTGTGTAATGACGGAGCTGAAGTCTGTCGATGTACCGACCTTCTGCCATGCCACTTGCATATTCAAAGATACGCCCTAAACGTCCGCATGTACGACTGAACAGTCATAGAGGGACTATACAGAATCCTCGAGTCATGAAAGAGAGGAAAACCTGTCGATATCTTGCTCATTGGAGAGGTTCTAGAGTTGAACGGCGATTGAAGATCGCCCTTCATCTCCACTTGACAAGCTCTGGAGCCCGAGGAGGCCGGAGCGCCACTCTGCCAGACCAAACTTTCAAATCCCGTGTTGTTTGGTCCCTGGCAAGCTGGCACAAGCACAGCAATCTACGACATGCTCCGGGGAGCAGGGCGAAAACTTGTCACCCGACCCCGACCCCGACCCCCGACTCCGATATTTCTCTCCGGAGGTCCAAGGCCATGCCATGGAGGTCGTAACGGCTTCCTATTTGGGTAGCGTTGCTTCAAGTCCAAGATGAAAATTACCCGCCCTTGATACGGAAATCCTCGCAACGGGGACGAAATATCTGGGTTCTTAGTAATGTTTTGCGTGTCATGAATTGGGATCGATGAATTGACTCATTTGATGGATCAGAGACTGAGAAGGATCCATCGGAAATCCGCTCGTGGGTTCTGCCAAATGCCCAAATAAGGTAATGTAAGGCACGGCAGCGTAGATACCTGAGGGGCCTATCAGGTGAAGGATTTTTCTGCTGGTCACGCTGGCGCAGTTTGAGGTTGTTTTCGAGTCAATATGCGGAGGACATCGGGAGAAGGCGGCTCTGCTGACGGGGAGCAACATCCGGAACGCTAGGGGAAGCGTGCCATGACCTCGACGACAATAATAATGCCGGCAGTACCTGAGGCTATTCATGGTGGACGATTTGTTATGCCTTACGAGGCTCCACCTTGCGTTCGCAACCCCTTTACTGCCGTGCCTGCGCAGATTTTTCACTGTCCAACGATACACTTGGTGTACAAATGCAATACCTACGATGAACAGGCATCAATGTTGCCCTTTTGCTGGACCAGCTGTCAGTATTTGATATATGTTCATCGATTCATTTGTCCAGGTGGATCGTCGTCCTGACATTGGATACATTCAATGGTGGTTGACCTTCTTCACCACGATCCACTAGGGACCGCAAGCAATGAAAGCAAAATGAAAAATCTTCAAGATGAGAATTGGGGTTCAAAAATTCCCTGGCCGGCCGAAGCCAACCAGGAGTGGTCATAGTTATAGTTTTCAACTAGCAAAAACACGATCTCGGACGAATCCTCACTGATACGCGTAAAGCCCTTGCACTCAGATGAAGAAGAAAAAGAGAAGAGAACCAGGTAAGATCGGTGGTGGGAGGCGGCCTTCTTATAGATTTTGCGAGGTGGGCGAGGTGGGCCCGCAATCAGTAAACGGTACGTACCTGAATTGGTTGCCCTGGGTGCCTTGGGGTCCCGTTTTCCAGGCAGGTATCAGCCACCAGCCTCCAGGTTCCTTCCTTTCGAATGGCTTCTGGTGAGTGCCGCAGGGGTTGCCTTCTGCACGACCCACACGCAGGGATCGACCTGCCTGCCCTGAATACCAAGGTACATACCAAGACGACCTCTCACGATGCTCTGTGAACATCGACCTGAAGGCTTCGTAAGTTTACACTCTTATACACCATGATTGCTGGTGGAAAATCTTTGGTAAGTGGATTGTTATCCCAGGATGCTGACCAGAATATCATCATCTCCAGGGCCCGAAATCATTTCTCTCCAGCCATCTGCCAACAACATGTTTCGCTGATGTCGTGGTTGTCCCCTTGGCGACCTGGCTTCATCTCATCATTCTATTGATTGGTCTCCCTCTATGTTTGCGCTCACTACGAGCTTCGGCCTCAGCTTCAGCCGGGCCGTCACACACGGCCGGGGCACCCACGGCAGGAGACAAAGTCGCGGTGTCAACATCAGCGTCAACATCGGTGCCGCCAGCAACCAAATCGACCTCGGTGGCCGTCAAGATTGCCAGCGTCATCTATTACATACTCATAGTAGCCATGCTGGCCATGGCATCACTTGAGATTGCCCGTCTCATCGTCGCTCAGCTCGGGATTGGTCTCCTTCCTTTCACATACGTTGGCATACTCGCCGCTCTGGTCCTCCACGTTGCTGCTGCGTCGACGACTACAACTTCATGGCTTGGCGGTCTGCATGTCTACAGGGGCAACACGCGGTGGCGATGGACTGTCAAGGGTGTCAACATTCTGTACTGGGTGATGTTGATGTGTGTGATGGCAATCAAGGTTGCCAGTCAGGCCATGGAACAGAACGTACTCGGAATTAGGACGGGTCAACAGGCGCAATATCCTATTTCGGATTCCATCACGGACAATGCGACCATGATAGGGGTGGAATTTGTGCTGTTGATCTTGGAGTTTTTGACTATCTAATCATATCACAGTGTAATAGAAATTCTAAGAGCTGAGAATTGGGCATCAGATGGGGAGCACACCAAACTGATCGTGCCTTGTGGTAGAAGTGGCGCCTTCCTTTGCAAAGTGACCGTGTGGCTGTGCGCGAGCCAAACAGAGCAGGCGCGGGGTCATTTTGGTGACTCACTGCATAGAAGCGCGGGATGTCCACGAGTCCTTCGTGAGGCCTTCCTTCCCTGAATGACTAGGCGTAATTTTTGCGAGAGGCATGACGTTGGTGTGAGTGGAATTTGACTTGATGTGGCAGCTAGTCCACTGAGGCCAACGAGGCCAAAAATGAGACTCCGTGAAAGTGTATTGATGGCGAAGCTTCCTCCGTTACCTCAGCAAAAAATGAACCAGGGTGATGGCGGGGTTGTGCTTTCAACCACCACATGCCAGGGGTTAGGGAGAAAAAAAAAAGATCTAACCCCTCCACGACGTTCAAGAAGAACCCCGCCTGCCGTTTCCAAAGTAATTAACCAGAATGCGCAACGCCAACGTTCTCTCGTTGGGCGCTTTTGTTAAAGAGCTGCGCTATTGCTCATCTTCAGCTTAATCGCAGTATCTAGATTCACTACTAGGGTAGACAAGATTGCGTACAGTTAGGTTTCCTCATTCACTACTAGAAAGACATACCTTAGTGAAAGGGCAGAGGGTCATCCGCCTGCCCGTACACATCATATCCAAAGCGGCATAAACACCTCACTGAATGTCTTAAATAAGAAGGCCTGCAGAAGAGACGTCTCCTGTGATGAGATGAGTGCAAGCGCCAGAGCCTTTCTTCCGTTTGACATGCGTCCATGAGTGAATGTAAGTGGACGGGAATTCGAAGCTCCAGCGCACTCCCCCCGCTACTGGCCGTGCTGCCGCTGCCGCCTTCGGCCTGGCTGGGCTGGGTTTTCTCTTCCTCGGGCTCCCCTCTGACGGTCTCTTCCCAAGTTCCTGCCCAACCACAGAGCCCCCTTGTTTTCCACAATTTGTTTCCTTCCCGACTTCAGCCAGACCGGACGGACCTCCCACTCCCCAAACTCTGTCCAAAAACTTCTTTTCCGATACCAACATCTCCGGAAAGATTACTTGTAACATCTTAAGCCGTCGTCTCGCCGCGCTCTAGATTCTTGCATCTTTACCCTTTGGCCCCGCGTTCAACATCTCAAATCTGACATCATGCCTCCTAAGAAGTGGGGTGAGTTATGCCTTGTCCCGCACTGTACCGCACCACAAACGCACACAAATAATCGTGAGAGGCAAAATGTCGCGATGATCTGTCCAGTCTGGCCAGCGCAACTGCTGCCTCTCTTCTCCCCAAACGACATACTTGCTATCCATTTAGGACTCTACTAACTTCCGTGTTCCTCACCTAGACGAAGAGAGCAGCGAAGAGGAGAGCTCCGGCCCCGCCTCCCCCATTGGCGGTGCTGTTCCTATCCGCCGCAAGTTTGAAGACGAGGAGGATGAGGATGACGTACGTTAACGAAGCTACAAGACCAACCGCGTCGCCGCTCGTACACTAACTCTTTCCATAAAGGTTCTCGACTCCTGGGATGCCGCCGAAGACTCCGAGGTAGAGCGCGAAAAGGCTAAGAAGGCCGAGGAAGCAAAGGCCAAGGCTCTCGAGGAGGCTAAGAAGAACAAGAAGACCAAGGCCGAGCGCATCGCTCAACTGAAAGAGGAGCGTGCCCGCCTCGATGCCGACGACTCTGGCGAGGAGGAGACCGAGGCTGAGCGTCGTGAGCGCCTCCGCCGCACCGAGAAGGAGTCCGACCTGAAGCACGCCGAGGATCTCTTCGGTGATATCGGAGTCCCGGCCGGTCGCAAGGCTGTCCTCGCCGGCTCTGCTGTCCAGATTGATCCCAACGACCCTACCAAGACTGCCAACATTGCCTCTATGCCGCTCTTCAACCCCGTTACCAAGACCCAGTTTGAGCACCTCCGCACCACGCTGACCCCGATTCTCGCCAACAACGCCCGCAAGGCTCACTACGGCCTCTTCCTTCAGGAGTTCTCCAAGGCCCTCGCCAAGGATCTGCCCAGCGACCAGATTAAGAAGATTGCCAGCACTCTCACTGCCCTTGGTAACGAGAAGATGAAGGAGGAGAAGGCTGCTCAGGGCGGCAACAAGAAGAGCAAGGCGGCCAAGACCAAGGTCTCCGCCGTCGTCAGCCGTGCTCCCGCAGCTGACACCGAGACCTACGAAGATGATGGTTTCGGAGAGTAAGTCGATCTCTCAAGACTGCTATCTGCCATGAAATACTGACCCTTCGCTCTTCTTAGTGATGACTTTATGTGAAGCAAAAGGCAGGGTTGCATTATTCTCCCGCGCCCAGAGCTCAGCCCGTTGTATCTCAGCGAGTCTGCTCCGTGCCAACGGATCTGGCGCGGCTTCGTACCGAAGCTTGCCACAGCGACTTGGATTCAGAGCGCAAGTGTTGCTGTCGCGGACCCCGGCTGCGTCACGATGTAGATGGGGGTTCGGCATGATGAGGGCTCGTGGGCTACTGGGACTGCCGGGAAGGCCATCTGGTTTAGACTGCGAGAGATGGCATCGGAAGTGGCGTCGCCTCAAAGCAGGAATGACGCTGATCATGGGGAAAAAAGCATTCACGGTCTAGAGGGCGAAGAGCCCAGTGCATTTCGCGCATGATATCAAAGAAGCTCCCTACAGAAGGGTAGTTGTGGACAGCGTTAAAACCTGATAGAATCGAATCATTCGAGTAAACTTGTGTCGTGCCTGTGCCATACGTCTGGAAAACTAGATAGTACGATAGGCTGGAGTACCTGTCTCTACGTCTCCAAGGATATATGTCATCTCTATGGAGCTATCCCCAAACATTACGAGTAAGTAATGGGTCACTCTCCGTTAAGAGATGTCCTACTTGTACAGAATTGCTTTCTCGACCAACTATCCACCTATCAAATCTGCTATATTCCGTAAAGGCCTTGTCGCCTACGGGCAACTGAACAGCCACCAAACCCCACCCCTCATTCACCATTTAGGTCTCAAAGAGCAATAGCACCCCCAGCTTACTTTGAAGGAATCATGGTATTCCGGTGGTTGAGCCTCACTCGACTAAAGCAGCCGCCCGCTTTCCTCTCGTCATTCCTTCTTCTCTTCCGACGAAGCCCGAGAGACAAGATATCCCGAGACCTATGGGTTTCCAAATCCAGGTATTTCCGTAGACCACCCATAGAAGGGGGAGCAGCCCTGTAGCTAGCTGTACAGCTCATGCAACCGACAACAAGGGTCCGCGGGGGAAAGCTGTGTGGAGAAGTGTAGTGTATGTTTGTGGTTGCGATATGCGTCGCCCGGGATCCTTGGCGGTACGCGAGTTTGATATTCATGCGGCGCGCGTCATGCTGCCAGCGAATGAATTTCATGCCTTGAAGTGATCTTCCGAGTGACTCACGGCGTCGAAATACGACTGTGTCCAACATGTCAACATCACGAGCGACGCGTCTTTGGTCAAATGTACATTGCCAAAAAAAAAAGGGGTATCAATTATTTTGTTGTTTGCTCTTCCCCGTATACCTCATGTTCGCCGTGTAAAACGCCTCGTCTCCTAGAGAACAATCCCAGAGAAAAAAAAAAGAAAAAGAATTGAGTGGTTTGATGGAACCCAATACCCCTTCTTTCCTCCTATGCAGAAATGTTTGCCCTTTGTATATGTACATGATGGTTGTTGTTTCCTCCCTTTGTCCATCTATGTAAGATTTGTAAAAGACAACGCCTCCCGTTTTCGAATATCATGCGCTCATTAAAAGACAGCCGTGCTCACGTAGAGGGCAGGAAAACAAGAGAAGAAGCTAGGGGGAGAGGAGAGGGAGTTGAGAGGGTAGGTTTTTAAATGACATTGCCTGCCATGCCCATAAAGAGAGCATGGACAGCCAGAGACAGAGTCCAGAAGCCGACCTTTTTCAGCCGACGAACGCGGCTTTGCTGGTCCTCAATGTCGCGTGCAAAAGCCTCGTAGGTCTCGGCCGACATGTCGTCCATGAGACCGCAATCAAAAATGGACCAGCTGCCGTCGAAATCGGTGTGGCGCTTGACAATGCGACAGTTGATCGGGATATATGTCTTCTTAGCGTTGATGTAGGCCACGATGGGGCGAACGAGCGCCTGGTTGATGTAGGAGATGTCCTTTGTGAAAAGGGGCACGGCGGCCTTGACATCGTTCATGTGGATCCGGAGATCCATAATCAAATATCTCCGGTCTTCTTCTGATGACTCGGAAGAACTGGAGGGGTCGGAAGACTCAGCGTCTATGGGATTCTCGGGGACTTCTTCGGTGAGCTCTGGTATAGCCTGGGAAAGATGGCCCTTTGTAGGTGTAGATCCCCAGAGATCCGAGGCGGAAGAACCCACGATTTTGATGTCGAGCAGATCCTTCTGGAGCAGACGCATGCGGTTGGATATCACAACGTCTTCGAGCTGGTCGTAAAGATCCGACATGGCTTTGGTGATGCCATCATCAACGTCCGCGGGGAACATGACATCTGCGACAATGTCGACGTTACCCTCGTAAATCCAGCCGAAAGGTCCCTCTACACCACGGTTGAGGTGGTCGATTTTAAGACCATCAATACGCAGGCGGCTGAACTTCTTCCAAGCTGCCGGCTCGCCTACATCCTCTGCCATGTCTCCGTTCTCGCTAGCGATAGTACCGTGTACTTGACGGGGGTGAATGGTGAACAGAGAGCCATCAAATGATCCCGACATATGGGTTGCCGATAGGAAGTCGTAAAAGAGCCACTGTTTCCTGAGCTGTGGCAATTCGCAGGAGAAGATGCTGACGGAGAATGGTCGGAAACCCTTGGGCTGGTGAACAGTAACGAGAAGATCCTCGAGTTTGAAAGAGTCGATCTCGAAATCGCCGGGCTCGTGGGTATGGCGGTAGGATAGAGGGTCGACCACCTCGTCTGACCATTGCACAGACGTGCGATCAACGACACCGCGAACGCCCTTGACCTCAACATCCTTCAGGAAACCCTTGCCGTTCCACCACTTTAAGAATGACAGTGTCACATTGACCGTTGCGATCGACACGTCGTATTGTGTGTAGTTGCCATCATCCTCTTCCAACACTTGGCCGTCCTGGTCGGGCTGGTTTCCAGTCGCAGCCATAGCCGCAGCGCTCTCGGAAGAGCCCTTGCTAACCGAAGACTTGACCTGTCCTGGTCGGCGCGACACAAAGACATTCTTGAAGCTGATCACGCCATCTCCCCACTTGGGAACAATTGCCGATTCGAAGACGACCGTGACGCCTGCAGACTCGGTCAAAGAATCGCCTACCCATTTGGCAAGGGTTTCTGTACAAAACGGTGAGCAGCTGGACATGACACAGACACAGAAGGGAGCTTACCTTGCGCAAAGACGGTGTTGATGCTGAGAATGATCAGCGAGAAAAAGGTGGTGGTACCGACCAAAATCCAGACTAGATGACCAAACAGGAACCACGAAACGAAGGCGCCCCATTCATCAATATTCCACGGCCGCATACTCCTGATAGACGCCCACTTGAATCGAACCTTCATTCGACCCAGGAAGCCGTTCGCTGCGGCCAATAGCTCATCCCGGGTGGGCCGGTGCGGCATCTTTGGAATGTGCAAATATTTCGACATGGTGGATGCGATCGATTCGGCGTCAGGGTCCGGTGCGTCTGGCTTGCCCTGCTCCCCAGCCTTGGGGATATCCTGCTTCGTCTGGGTTGTCGAGCCCTTTTCCTCCTGCTTTCCACTCTTGGAGCTATGGTGCCTCCTTTCGGCCGGGTTCATGGCGCCCCTCGAATCGGTATGTATGCCTCGTCTCCATGCTTGCTGCGCCAGTTGGTAGACATTTGACTTCTTCGTCAGACCGGCGTTCGTAGCGGATTCCGCAGCAACTGCGCAAGCTGCCGATGCTTGCGTGGGCGCGAGTTCTGTGGTAAACCCAACCAGCAGCAGTCCGCTGCCTGTATAGCTTCGTCGCGCATTGTGGATGTTCGGTCGAGGAAACGAGTGTTGTGACCCGGAGTGTATGGACCTTCTGAAGGTGTTCGGCCTAGGGAGGGAAGGGTTGACTGTAGATTGACCTGCTTTTAGACAAGTATTTCTCGTCGTCGCTGTCGTGATGGTCGTTCCTCGCAAACCCAGAGTCTGCGCCGATCCACAGGCGCAAGACCAGAAGCGACGCCCAAGAAGAGTCGACGGAGCGTTAGACATTTCACAAGCTCATTCTGTCTCTTGGTTGAACAGAGAGACAGCAACAAGAAGTAAGAACGAGGAGGGAGGAGAAACAACCCTGTTTATTTACCGCAGCAACAAATGAACCAAAGAACAACACGATCAGAGGGGTTGAAGCAAGGCAAGTATCGAGGGAGGCACGGCAAATGTTAGCACATTTCATGCGCTCATGCAGAAATGACTGAGATGCAAAGCTGGGCCAGGGAAGGGCAAGCCTGTGAAAAGTCATCCATGACGCGCTACCGCAGCTCCAGGTACCTCGCTGAACCCGGCTGGACCCGTTCCAAAGGCACCTTACGTATGGGGCGTCCGCGCTTCCAGCAGAAAAATTCAGAGGCGCATCATGGCCCGTGCCTCGAGTCTGGGCCCAATGCTGGTCCTGGACCTTCAGGCCTGTTGCTGGCTTGCTGACATAAGATCCGCAAAGGCCTAACGGTGCACGGTGCTAAAGTGCTTAGCCCATCAGCACCCCGGGGCCTTATCGTCTTATCGATAGCGAAACACAAAAATTTGGGAATTCGGCGATAAATCGATACTGGCTCACGACTGGCACCCGCCGCTTTTTTCTTCACGACCGCCTGCCCACCCCGCCAGACCGACTCGGCTCGATAGCACACAAGCCAAAGAAACATCATCACCACCGAAGCGATACATACACCCTCGATTGAATTTGTTGCCTTTCTTTTCGACTTCCTCGATATCCTTCGGTAACCGAAAACAAAAGAACCTGCCCAACATGCCTGCCCCGACCGCCAAGCAGGTAGAGGTTTCTGCCCCGCCAATCGAGGCGACCTTCCAAGAGCCTCAGCAAGACGAGGAGCTTCTCCTCGATGCGCCGACCCTGCCCGAGGAGATGGATGCGATCCTGCCCAGCGTACCGCAGAACGGAGAGGAAGGCGAGATGGTCGTCGACGAGGAGAACCGCCCGCGCTTTGCGCCCGCCAGAGACATTGTGCGACAGACCCTTTCCTGAGATCTAAGAGAACACTGGGAAAAACTAAGACGTTATTCGTGTTTCCAGGACCCCGTCACCAGAATAGAGACTCGCAAGGTCCCCGTACCTCCTCACCG